GCTTGAGGTTCAGGGTTTCGGGTTTAGTGTTTAGGGTTCGGGTTTGCAGCTTTGGTTTTGGGTTGGGTCTTCGACTCAGGGCATTGAACAAGGGTTCAGGGGCCGATTGGGTGAAGCTTGACGATTTCCAGAGTATGGGTTGACCCTGAACCCTAAAGCCTATACCCTACCTGTGACCCCAAGCCCTACAAAATAGTAGGTCATGATGACCCCTCATAAAAACGATAGGTTTTTGGATCCGCAGGTGGAACCTGAGCCCTTAAACCCTAAAGGTGAGTTATTTCGGAGAGGCGCGTAGCTGTCAAGCTATGGTTTCGCATCGAGGGGCTTGGATGTTCGTAGAAACAGTCATGCGTTTCAGAGGGGTCCCAAAAGCCTAAGGGTCCATGTACCTAGTGTTTACTTTAGCCCCAAAGTACGTACCGGGACTACATTAAGGTCATAGTATATACTATTTGGGTACATGGACCGGTAGGGAAAGCTGCGAGTGCGAGACGAGCTCCTAGTACCGTTGTGCAGACTTTGTCGACTACATGGCAAATTAGCATTCAGGGGCTTTCGGGCTTTGGGTTTGTACATGTTTTGTAAGAAATGTAGCTGTCAGCAACCTACCACAAGCCATTGTTTTGGGGATGATGAATCTCGAGTGGACGGAGCTCGCCTCAACTGTAGCTAATCTGCTGTCGATGCGGAGTTTCAAAGAGGGCTCCGAAGAACCTCCAGCCCAGTTTGCAATAGCATTCTCTTGTTGTCCCCATGTAGGTACAGACCAACATATGGGTAGTTCTCTAAGTTAGGGTGCCTTTTGGGGTCCTTTTTACAAGGGTGCCGTATTATGTTGGGGACCCAAAAAAGGGACCTTGATTTAGAAAACTACCCAAATACCCCCAAACTGATTTTTGGAGACGACGCCAGGCTGCTGACGAGGTTCGCCAGGGCAAGCTACACGACCATTTCCCTCTCGTCGTGTGGCAGACGGGCAGTGGTACACAGACAAACATGAACACCAACGAAGTCATCAGCAACCGTGCCATTGAGATTTTGGGTGGGGAGCTTGGCAGCAAGTCGCCGGTGCATCCCAACGACCATGTCAACCGCAGCCAATCTTCCAATGACACCTTTCCAACTGCTATGCACATTGCGGCGGTGCTGGCACTTCAGCAGCGCACATTGCCTGGACTGCGCCGCTTGCATAAGACTTTGAAGCGCCAAGCCAAAGAGTATGACGACATCATCAAGATCGGACGTACGCACACACAGGACGCAACGCCTCTGACACTGGGCCAGGAATTCAGCGGCTATGCAACGCAAGTGGAGTATAGCATTGCCCGAGTGGAGGCTGCTTTGCCGCGACTCCGCCAACTTGCCCTGGGTGGCACTGCCGTGGGCACGGGCCTCAACACCTATATTGGCTTTGCGGAGCGTGTTGCCAAGGAGATTGGCCGTATCACTGGCGAGGAGTTCGTGTCGGCACCCAACAAGTTCGAGGCTTTGGCTGCTCATGATGCCGCTCTGAAGTTGAGTTCGTCGCATGTTTTTTAATGTAGAAGTCGCAATAGTTATACTCGTTCAGTAGCATCTCCTTATAGTTCCCGTATAAGCATACCATTGAAGACCCCATGCTAACTATTTTTTAGGGTCCCTGTATCAAGGCTCACGTAGGGAACCCCTGCTCCACATCGCTACATGGTCAACTCTGAAACTACCCTAGAGTAAACGAGCAACTACTCGGGCTTACTAAACCCTGCTTGAACTGTAGCATCGCGTGGCCTTACTGAACGTCACTCAAGCTCAAGTCCTACGGAACACTTGAACAAGGTGAAATTCAGAACACGGGAGCCCTATTGTGGAGCCTAAACGCCAGGATCCTTAATGTAAGGATCTCTAAACTGGAGCGCTTAAGCTCTAATTTTCTGAAAGTCCCAAGTGAACCCTAAACTAACCTCTAAATCCGAAACCCTAAACCCTAATCTCTAAACCCTAAACCCAATTCCAAGGCCGTGGTAGAGGCCTCGGGGGCTTTGAACACGGTGGCGTGCTCTCTGATGAAAATCGCCAACGATGTACGACTTTTGGGATCGGGTCCCAGGTGTCTTAGCTGGAATAGGGCTGAGTTATTTAGGTTTGGTGAAGGTGTACACGGGGCTCCTTTTTTTTTCAGCACTGGTGAGCAGCATTTGGGCTTGTAGGCTACTCGCAGCCTGGGTTTAAGCCTATTTCGAGGCTCTTGAGTTACGGTTTAGGGTGTTAGGGCTTACGGAATTAATTCGTGGGGTCTAGGGCCAGTATGCTCCAGCTGAAGCAGATCGAGATCTTACCTGGTTCTAAGGGCCCTTGCGGCTTAGGCTGTGGGAGTTCTTAAGGACATCCAGGGCTTTCGACTCGATGGTTCGGTGGTCCAGGGCTTTGCCGCATAGGATTCGGTATTCATTGGTTCACTCTTTGAAAGTATCCCTGTTTAGGGTTTGGAGTTGAAGTGTAATCTGTCCGACGTTTGTCAAAAAAACGTCATCATACAGGAGTTTACACTGGTCTCTATGGTATCCTTCGGAATGCAGTCGCCTGTGTGCAGGGATAGTGAGGAAACACTGACAGTCATGAACAACAAAAATGAGGATATCAGGCTGGCTCGTAGGGTAGTAAATAGTAGTACCCGTCGACGACACCGTCGTCGTCGGGGTCGTCACCGTCGTAGCGCGAGCAGGAGGAACAGCAGCCGGCGGAGGAGCAGTAGAAATTACAGGAGGAGGGGGAGGAGGAGGAGGCAGAGGAGCAGCAGGCAGGGCAACTTCTGCAGAACAGCAAAGCCTAGGCTCAAAGTCCAGCCTGTACTCTTTTCAGGGACACAGTACGAACCCCATAGGCCAAAACTTCAAGCCCGTGACGAAACCCTACAATTTCGACCTTGAACCCCATTGCTGAAACCCGAAGCCGACACTCTGAAACCCGCACCCTCACCCCTCTAAGGTCATGCCCTACCCGTTTTTAAGGTACCTAGTCTTATGGTTAGGATTCAGACTGCATCATGCAGAGAAGTAGGTGTCCGAAAAACGGGGAGGGTGCGGTTGATGATGTAAATCCTTCCTTTACCCATAATAAGGAATATAACATCATTCCCATAGTTTAGGGTCCTTAAGGTGATGCAGGATTTATATCATCAACAGTGCCCTGAACGCTAAATCCGAAGCCCCCAACCCCCTAAAGCTTAAACCCTAAACCTTAAGCCCCGAAACCCTGCAACCCCTAAACCCTATAAACCTTAAGCCCTGAAACCCTGAAACCCCATAGGTCCTATAGGTAACATCGAAGCGAGGTGTGGTTTGGGTGAGCTGCTTCTCCCAGAGAACGAGCCCGGATCATCTATCATGCCAGGGAAGGCGACTGGGGTTCTTGTTTAGTGAATTTAGTTCAAGTTCGAGTTTAGAGTTTAGGGAATTTAGTTCAAGTTAGAGTTTAGAGTCTAGGGAATTTAGTTCAAGTTAGGGTTTAGAGTTTAGGGAATTTAGTTCAAGTTAGGGTTTAGAGTTTAGGGTCTAGGGTTAGGTTATCAGAATTAGGAAACGCTATTACTATTTTCTATGGATCCCTATGATTGCAATTTAAAGACAAGTTCTTCGACAAGAACCCAGGTGAACCCCACGCAGTGCGAGGCCTTGACCATGGTATGCTCTCAGGTCATGGGGACTCCTGGGTTCGTCTTAAGGAGCTTTTTGCTAAGGCAGTGAAGGGTTGAATTAGGGTTTAGGGTTCAGCTTTAGGGGTTTACGGTTTAGGGTTTAGGGCCTCCGGTAAAGAGCATGCTGTGTTTTAGGATGGAAGCCTCAACACATTTTTGCCAAACAAAACCCCGGGTCCTCCAGCCGGCGGCTTTGGGTACGTTTTGGTAGAAGTCGGGTGGTCGTGGTGGTGTCGTTGTTCCGGAGAATCCCAACTGACCCTTCAGGTGAACAACGAGCCGTAGGAATCTGAAGAAACATTATCCTAAGGCTCATGGACCCCCATAGTGAAAGCCCAAACCTTAGCCCCCAAAGCTCAAACCCTCCCCTAGAAAGCCCATAACAGCAATAAGAGCCCTTGGGTAAGGAATCATGTTGCCATTACGGTCGGCGGCTCAAACGGCCACTTCGAGCTCAATGTCTTTAAGCCCAGCATCATCAACGCTTTCCTGCAGTCTGCTAACATCCTCGGCGACGCTGCTACTTGGTCCATGAACTCAGCAACCCTCCTGTAAAAGCCTTAAGCCGGTACGGATCTGGTGTAAGGGCTCAACTGGCGGGTTTCCAGAAAATAGGGGACCCTAATATAGTACCCTAAGTAGCAGGATCCTTATTTTAAGGACCCCCCTCAAATAAGGTATCCCTTGTTTTCGGATACCCTCAACTGTTGCTAGGTGCCTAGCAAGAGGGGCCTCAGGCATTATACTTTAGAAGCAGGCACGGGCCGGTCTCGGTTGTAGAAAACGCTCTGTAGGCACGATCTTCAAAGCTATCAACCCTAAGCCCGGAGCTGCAATCTGTAGTATTTCATATATATATATATATGTATGTATTATTTTTTGAATATATTTATTTACTTAATTGTTTATATACAGTATTGTGCTGCAGAATATTAGCTACGGTATATCTAGAGTAGCATGACCTCGAACAAAAGACATGCACCCCAAACCCTGCACCCTAAACTCCAAACTCCAATCTCTTCGGCCTGAACCAAAAGGGAGCGGGGTCTAGGGTGTAGGGTGGAACCTGGACCAGTAAGGCTGCCTCCTTCTCCAAAAACTGCATGGAGGGCCTCGAGCCTAACCGTGATCGCCACTCGACCGTTTTCCGGGTTTGGGGTTTAGGGATGGTTAGGGTTTAGGGTTTAGGGTTTAGGGGTTTGGGGTTTAGGGATGGTTAGTCGATCAGGCTTTAGGGATAGCAATAAACTGCACACTTTTGCTTCGTCGGCACTGGTCAGTACATGCTCTACAGGTGCTCGGACCCTGGCTCGGGGTACTAAGAGGGTCTCGGAATCAAGCGGCTAAGTCCTCAATCTGAAACCAGGTGGCCTTGCGGACTGTCCGAGATCGGTCATGTCAGGTGTTGGGTGCTTGCTAGAGCGTGTTGTGCAGCTGAAAGGGGGGTTTGTGGACGCCATACTTATACTTGGGCTGATGTGCAGGGTTGGGGTTTGTGACTATTCTGTCTGGGGAGTTGAATTCAGGGCTTATAATGGTTTTGTGCACCTCCCTGACAAGCAGAGGCATTTCCAAGCTGATGAACGAGAGCCTGATGCTTGTGCCCTGGCTGCCTGGTTTGCTGGGTTCTTGTTAAGGAACTTGTTTCAAGTTACCATAATAAGGGGCTATAGTACATAATAGGGTTTAGTAGAGATTCCTTTTTTGTGACAACTTAAAATGAGATGTGCGTTAACTTCCCGAAAAAGAACCCTGTTTAGGGATGTTTAGGGTTTAGGGCGGAAGATGGGAGCTTCCCTACTCATTCCCTGGCCTGCTGCTTTCGTACTCTTAGCAGTTTCGGGCTTTGGGGCTTGGGGTTTAGGCTAAACCCTAAACCCTAAACCGGTTAAGGATATAGGCAGGGTCCTTTAAAGGGGAGACCTACAGGTGTTGCTCGCACTGGAGGATGGATTGCTGCAGTCGTTTAGGAGGTGTTGCTGCATAGGTCAGATTCTAAACCCGAAGCCTCATGCCGCATGCCCTATAGTAGAAGCCCAGAAGGTTGGAAACCCAATAGCCTGAATGCTTCAAAGCAAAGTGTAAGGAATCCCAGCACTATTTGTCCTTAATCCGGTTTCCAACTTTTTGGAGCTTGCGATAAACCATCCTAAACCTAAACCCAAAGCCCTAAAGATGTGTAGTCGAAGCCCCCGAGCTTGGCACGGACTTTCCGCATCCCGTACTCAAAGAGCCCACAATATACAAACTGTGCAGGGGGTTTAAGTAGATTTCAGGAATATACCATAGGTCATACACACTCTTACGACCCCTGCATTTTGAGGCATATTCCCAAATTGACCGCTCATTTCCCTAAACCCTAAACCCTAAACCCAAAACCCCAAACCCAAAACCCTCAAAACCTGGCTGTCAGGTGACAGCGCTCAATCCTTACATTGGCTACGACAATGCAGCTGCAGCAGCCAAGAAGGCCACGCCTGACTCGGGTAATTTCTGAACCAAGAGGGTCCATATACACTACTATTATGGAATTAGGTCCCCAAAACCATAATAGAGGGATGGCCTTGTAAGGCCTAATTCCATAATGGTAGTATATATGGACCCTCTGGGGAAGACTAACTGACTAGGGGTTGGGGCCTGGGGCTTATAAGGTTTAGGTTTCTGGGGCTTTGGGTTACGGCGAATCTGCTGCTTCGAATGAAAGGCGTCTAAGCAGCATCATGATCAGCGGACGAACACACACACATGCATGCATGCATGCATGCATGCATGCATGCATGCATGCATGCATGCATACGCGCATACATACATACATACATACATACATACA